CTACACTACCCGCCAGTAAATATGGCACATCGAATTTTGGAAAGAAACTATTTTGAGAGACACCAAGGCCATTACTAACTAATATTTTTACCTATTTTAACGGCTCATGATAAGGAGTAATAATACTTTTATTGAAATGTCAAAAATGAAACTGTTCTATGGTATGGAAAACAGAGATGTGACCTCATCATATTTTTGGGTCAAACAGCATAACTTTTTCTCAAAATAGAACAATGAAAAAAAATTAAATTATGTAAGTATATCGTCAAATCCATCAGGGAGTACGATTACTTTTCAATATTTAATCGTATTGAAATCTTAAAGGAATTCATTTTTGACCGAAGAACATACCCAGTAAAGCAGATTTGCCCGATTCTCTTTTTAAAATTCGATGTGCATTTTTTATCTCCAGGTACTGTACAGTACCTACCTACACGCTTCACAAAGGAGTAAAAGTATCAAGACTTGCCACTGCCAGGTGCTAAAGGTTAATATTAACTCGAATGTACTTGTTTCCTCTTTAATATTCAAATAAAATACGCCTTATATGCTGTAATTGTTTACACTATAATGATAGCCTATCTTGTCCTGCATAAATTGTTGAGTGTGTATTTTCGAAGTCTGTTTTGCGATCTAATAGACGCTCTGATGGGCATGATTAGCATCTATCTACCTATGTTAAGTTAAAGTAATAGGTACGCCATTTCGTGTTTTAGTTAGGTACAAAATTGATAATTATGTATGTATAAAAATCATAGTGAAAGGATTTAGGTACTTGTATATTATCATTAAACTGAATACTTCAATACTAATAAGTTATCTTTATACCACTTAAGGTCTAGTTTTCAAAAGACGTAAATGCAATTGTTTAATAAAAATAATAATCATATTCTAAGTCGATTTTTTTTCATATTATGTAAATTCTTAAATACCTAAATACATATTATTTGCGTAAAAAGTTCGTTAGCATATATTAAACGAAACTGCAACGGAAAATATAATTGTTACAGAAAGGTCATGATAAAGTTTCAATCAGTAGAAAACATAGGCAACCTGGTTTAGACACGCACATACTATAATGCATGGGCATCACGTCCGCCGACACACCGGTGGGTAATTGTCGAGGCATTAAAAACCGATAAAAAGCATTAATACGACCGGCGATCGGTCAAATTGCGGATACCGATAATTTACGTAGGAGACGCCCCTCGAGCAGCGTGCGCCCGCGCACACACCACAAGATGCATTCCAAGTGATAATTAAATGAACTACGAGTGCGATCCCACTTCACAACATTCGATTGCATTGTAATTAGGAACGTACAACGCCTGTTAAATATGAATACGTGGATAATCAATAAGCACAATTCATATTAAAACTGTATGATGTCATTAATGAGGAATTTGTAAAACAAAAATAATTTTGCTTACTTTAACAATATACCCACAAATAAGTAAAAGCGAGTGAGGCAAGCAATAAAGAAATCATAATTATGGATTTATTGGTAAGCGAAAGGTTGTCTGCACGTTTTAAATTTCGCGGTAGAGTGGCCAGGCATCGTTTCAACACAGTTTATTGTATGGATCCGCCGATGACGAACGATGCGAAGCAAACCGCAAACCGATTTTGCAATAACATTTTAACGATAGGTGTCTGACATATAAAGAGCATGTTACGACCAAAGATTCAAATATTTTGGACAAGTCATTGTCAAAAAAGGTCCAGGGGACATAAATCGTCGACCAGTTAGCCCCTTCTAACAAAGTCTACTCGGCAATAAAGTGGCCGCTTGTAAATCAAAACGACGAATCGAAAAAATGAAAAAAGTAAATAAATTGAGACGAGGCCGACGTTTCTCGTGAGCCACGCAACACTAGTGATGCGCTACTTAGTTGTACAAGGGCAATGTCGATAAAATATCCTGTGCGTGCGCCGCAGTAAAAACGTCACTGATGCGAAACTTCCGTGATCCAATAAAAGCATTTTATAAAAACAACGCTTGCATCAATCTTATGCAGATAATGTAGTTTATTATCTTGACAAATAAAAAAAAGAATCTAAAGTTTTAATCTCAAAATCAAATACTACTATGCATATCAATTCGAAATATTTATAAGCTTATCTCAAACGTTATAATAGAATTAGGAAAATTTCGATAATAAAGTACGATATTCGGTGGTCTCGGGCAGACGGTATCGATGTGGAAAGGAACGGATTGTGCATCGCAATAAAAAAAGATAAAGCGTATTACGGGATGTCCGGAGATAAGGGTCACTTTATGTTTTCATATTAAGTTTGACATAAAAATGAATGCAGTAACACTTTTTACTGCCATTGGCTGCCTTTGTTAGTTTAACAAGAATCTCGACGAGGAATTCTTACTTCTGTTCTACATAAGACTTAAAATCAATATACTTAGAGTCTATCCCATTCTAAACCATTTTTTATGGTTATTGAACACACTTTCTAGGAATTAAGACACTAGATTTCTAATGAAACTTTGATTTCAATTCTTGTCTGACAATTCTGAATCCGATAGTCACACTATAGTTGTTAATCAATTACTCCTCGGTTACCGTTTAACGTTTTATTTTGTTCATTGCTGAATACAGCTATAATTTAATATTCTTCCAAAGTTGTTATAATAAAAAGTTTATCTGAGTGTGTCTCGAAATTAATAGACAATGCATTGTAAAGCAATTTGAAAACACGCTCCGCCACCCTCCCCTTGTAAAATTTGTCCCCGATATCCCGTTTTGATTGGACGGCGTGATTTATATCTTGTTTAGGCGTCCACTGAAGATTACCCATTGTTGATCCTTTTTTATTTTAAGACAATTTTATGGGCCATAAACTAAATTTTGTAATTATGAAGGAAATGTGATCGTTTCGTTTAATATTCGACGTTTGGCCACTTTTATTAATGACGCTTTAACCTTTAATATGTATAAACGTTGAAGATGTATCATATTCACACACTTTTATAATTTAGTTGGTTGTGTATTTTTGTGTTCGTTTTTTATATAATAACTCAAGTATCAAAACTAGTCCGTCCTTTATCAGGGTAGTGTACGCAATGAGAATAGTAACAAAGGGATCCCTTCCCCGGAGATTGAAACGCTCTCCGGGCTACTGCCGGCTACAGTGATTTAGACTAACTGCACTTGTTGCGATACGGCGGGCACTCCCCATTGCAGATAACATATGACAGGCGGCTAATACGAGGATTATACTCATTCCACACACTTGTTCCGGCAAGTTATTTTACCGTAACTGCACCAGGACGGCAAGTTACAAGCCTGCATCAGCTAATGACGCGAAACTACAGTCATTCCGCTAACTTACCAGGTAGATCATATTTTGCCGTGACACTTATGTTCGAACCTGTTCACAGCTCCTACCATGGAAATGAGATATTTTATCGCAAACTATAACTTCGCCTCGCAGGTAATAAATACAGCCATTATTGAATAAAAATATGCTCATAAACCAAATTCCTGGAGACGAATAAAATATTCAAAGCGGTTTTATAGAACTTGTTATATGTCAGGCATGGAAGAAACATTTTGTGTTGGTATATTATTTGACGTGTCAATATTGCGCGCGAGCCTCTGGAGGGTTGTATGTCAGCCGCGACAGTTCCCTGGGCCGGCAGGTTCCGTACACAATGCCAATTTTCCGCTCACCGCCACCGACTACGCAATTATTTAGATAAACCTCTCGGCGTGACTATAAAAACATCTTCCCCTCCCCACGCAACGCTGTTTGTTGTCTTTGGGGCTTTGTGAATTTATAGCCCAGCATTACGCCGACGGTTAGGAAAAAATGTACTTTTAATTTATCTCGTTAAAGGGTTGAAGGACGGCCGGGTTCGCGAAGTAATTATTCCGGAATTGGCCACTTTAGCTGATGAATCCATTCCGTTGTACCCTTTATTGGGGGGCGATTGTGGAGTGAATTAATTTGTTTTTGACTCCGATCTCAACGGAGTGAAAGATTACATTATGCTGATGAGCGAAACATTTATTTCGCTAATTGTTTTCTAGAGATACCAAGTTTTTAATAATGAAAGTAATTAGAATACCAAAGACGATTCAAACGTAACTTTCCGTCGACTGTTTGTTAAGTATAATTTTGAACTTATAATAAAATAATCGACGTTGTCACTACCTACAATTAACTAAAAAGCCGAAATCTAATAAAAATCAAACTAAATACCTAATTCTTGCTAAGATCAACTCCAAACAACAATAAATGTCATTGTTTGCAAAAGTTAACTGAGATTAAAGCATTGAGAAATAACAGCCAACTTCATTACGAAGAAGAGAGTAAATTGTCAAGTCCAATTTGTAAATCCAAACTTTTTGATAACTCAAAATAAACTCCTTTTAAATGTAAAAATGGACTTTAAACATTGGAAGGCTGTTTTACAGCGGAATCATGGACTGATGAAATGACCCACGTAAGGATAGTGATATCGACATTAGAAATTGATAAATTGTAAGAATCTTATTAACACACGTTTAATATTCTCGTATCACCATAAAACTTGGCTAAAATAGATATGTAGATTTAATGATTATAAGTACAATATGTTTTTACTATCAAGCTTGATAAGATAATGGAATGGGAATGGCTAGGGCAGGAACTTTTTAAGAGACTTATTATTACGCCATGGACTAAAGAAGTCGAGTTTGAACTCATTAAATGAGGACGTTAGATTTAGAGCGTTTTTAGTTTTTTAAACTAAGTTTGACGATAGGTAAGTATAGTTCCTCTAAGAAAACTGAAACGAGAGATCAAAAAAGTCAACGTGAGAAATATCAATATGAATATGTATAATAATTGATGTTTGTGCGATGCAAGGCCCCATCTACAAAGGGATAACGCAAAAAGTATTGTAGTAGAAGATAATTGCAAAAAAATAGGCGTCGTATTGAGAACCTCCTCCTTTTTTGAAGTCGGTTAAAAAGAATTTTAACCTTAAGTCTACCGCTTACCTCCCACTCTTAGTGATGATCATCTCGGTGCCAAGGTCATGGAACTTGTCCCATAATTCCTTAGTTTCCAGCTGACAGTCTACGGAGAGTAACTCCTCGCAGTTGCAAGAGGTAGCTGGAGGTAGCGGCCTCGCTGGTGAAGGCGTGTCCCTCTCGCCTAGTTCTGGCCATCAAAGAGATAATGTTACAAGGTATTAATGTTGTAATATTTTAGTGGTCTTCTGACTATGAGGCGAAAAGTACAGCTTCAATGTTAACTAAATTGAAACAACACTATATCGTGTGTACCGACTGTTGCAATCTGCAATACCTTTTTTGTATTAGGTATCTATTACCTATTTTAACTGTCCATATAGGTAACATCGAAATATTGTGAATTAATTTAATAGACGCATATTGAATTAAATATTATATAGTCTTCATCCGTAATGACCAAATGTATATAACTATGTATATTTTTAACTGTTATGATTTACATACTTATGTTAGTTTAAGAATATACGCTCATTACAAGAGATGCCAGTTTGTATGTTGAGATACAATAGGTAAAAGTAATTACTACTATTTTAAAAATAACTTCGTTCATGCCTATGTATAACTGGCCATTTTAAATTTCAAAATATACCTACCTCAATCAACATAGTTGTTTAATACCAGAAACCTTAAACGATACAACTACTTACTTACAACGTATGTTTAGCACACTATCTCATGTATATTCAATTTGTAATGATCCAATTGTAGAAGACATAAATTGTGTTGTAGCAACTGAAAATGACTCCTAGTAGTAAACTACAAGTTTTAAATGACTTTTGTACAAGTTGTTAGTGTTTCGAAAAAAATATAGAAACAATGTGACCTTAACGTAAGAAGTCATTTGTATGGATATGGCTTAAAACTACATGCTGTATAATTGGCCAGTTTAAAAATTGTACACAGCGGTTCGAACGCCATGAACAAGGTTCTAAATATAAAAATTAAAAAAAGTTTTGATAAAAACAATAGTAAAGTTTTAAATTCAAATTATCCCTGAATTCGAATTTGGTAATAAACAACAATGAACTCTACGAAAATCTTAATTGAGTCTAAAAAGTTTACAACGACGACTTAATTGACAGTGCTACCTACTTACTCAAAACTATGGCATAATAAACCACAATTAGTTACAATAAAATCATTAAGTGCTTATTTAAAAGCAGCTTGTTACTAGACGCGGCGACTACATTATATGTAGTTTTCTACACGCATTAAATCAAAGAAGCTAGTGTGAGAACCGAATTGTGTTACTCTGAGAAAGTTTGTTTATAATGTTAATAACACTGGTCTTATAACAACTTCAATTACTTTTTGTTGTAAAATAATGGCGGACGCCGCAAGATGCAGCGGTAAATTGCCTGAGATTTCACGTAAATAAGTGTTAGTATGGTTTAAGTATTTAGTACAAGAAATTACGTTTTGCTAAGGTTAGCTAAGGTGGTGAAGGGATACTGCTTGTGTATAAGAAAGGAAGTTTTATAACGACCTCCGTATAATTCATTGTTCAAACTGAATCATGTCTTATGGGAGTAGACATAGGGAAACTTCTTGTTGGGCCGATTCAATAGTTTAATCCCAAATCCATCTACATCTCACAAGAATACTTTGTTACTCTTTTATCCAAAAAGTTCTCATGTGTACGAAGGTGAAATTACTGCCTGAAATAAGGCTGTCATTCATTATTACCACAATCTGCAGTCAGGTTACTATATGTGTAATGAAGTACGGATATCTTCTTACCAGAAGATGGCGCAGGTGAAGGCACAGCGTGGTCGGAGGCGTCTCGCTCTCCATCAGAACACTGTTCCACGTCAACCTCCACATCTTCGTCCGGCAAGGGGGACCGGCAGCTCGACGCTGGAGAGCTGAGCGATGCCGGTGAACTTTGCCTGGATACCGAACCTGCGCAACAAAATTATTGGTAAGAAGATAAGCTTTCCTTCTTAAATATTAACGTTGGATTTTACTGTCCATTTAACTAAAGATCCGACCGATGGATCATGATAAAAAGTTTCTATATGTGAATTAAGGCAAGGCATGGCTGAGTAAATACAAAGCACAGACCCTAAAGATATCTAGAATACCCTATTTTACGAATATTAGTTGGGCGTAAGATTAAAAAGTTTTCTAAGGAGGCAGTGAGACAATAGCTGGGTTAACACTTACTAAGTTATGACCTTTATATTTTGGCTGTAAAAGGAGAAAAATATAAGAATGGGACACAAATTGTACTTGATCTAACTCCAGTTACAACTATTTGTACCTATCAACTATTTATTTTGCTTTCTATATTTACACAGGATTTTTTTTTCGTGCGCCCATTGTCATAAGAGAGACACAATTTTAAACCCGTCGTATATTCAAATTTAAGTCTCATTTCCCAATTAAATTATACAGTAACCATTTAACTAATCAAAATGAACTAAAACACTAGAATTTGCGACAGCAAACCTAGATTAGACCTGGGCAGAGCATCAAAGCCGCGAACCTTGTTAATTAACAGCGGTATTAAACCTAATGAAACGAGGTGTTGCCAGGTACAACTAAGTATTGGTTGACCTAATACAAAATGGCGCATGTATTTACAAAACGTTGATTAAGTAACTATAACTGTTTAATTAAAGGCGAATTGAGAATGGGAACATATTATGAAACCATAAGAAAAATAATATATATCTCACTCTATACCTAAATACAATAGACTATAAGTCATTTCCATATTCTTAAGTTTTTGTTTTTTGTTTGTTTCCTTAAAAATGAAGCTGTTAAATGCTGTGCACAGTTATAATTGAACCTCAGATTTATACAATAGGTATTCTTAACGTGATAATATTGGTTATGTAATGCTTTATCTGTGACCTGTTTCTGTACCTACCTATTAAATAAAATAACAAGGAGACCACTAGCTTTAATTTAGAGCAGAGGCGGAACAGGGTGGGTTTTAGTCAGTAAGAGTCTGACACTCCTTCGCACGTCGCCCTAGGTGAAATAATTAATTTAATGTTTTTTACCCCCTTAAAATAAAAGGTTTTCTTTTCAGCATATATCCCAAGTAATCTAAAAGATACATAAATCTTTTACACTACCTAGGCACTCAACTACTTAACCAAACAAAAGAAGCTACAGAGCCTGCTCTATCCTCTATATACTTACAGTGATTTTCAAGTGCAACTGCATATTTCATTTATACTTCTAATCAACATACGAGTATATATACTTTGAGAGTTTTTATACTAGATATGAAGACAGGGATTTACTTTATTTTTGCAAACTCAACGAAACATGAAGAGCATACTCTTATAATAATATATAATATATTTAACATCGCTCTTTAAGTTTCGATACCTACTATAGAGTAGCATATAGCAGTAGCATTTGCTTAGGCAAAGAAATAAACAACCGACTACCAAATTACCGCTCACTACTAATTAACTTATTTCAATAAATACTTAGGTCTCATATACCTAACATAATTGCTTTGTTATCTACAAAGAAATTATCTTATGAGACCTATATATCCTTAGACATAAAAAAAATCTTTTGCAACGAAACGAAATTAGAACATTAGTTTCATATGGACCTACCACATAGATAGAATGACAAAGTACAAACATATCAACATGTGTAGGCAAAATTGAAAGAACAAGCCGACACAGTAACTCTAACCGTTAATACAAAGGTTAACTCATAAAATACAAAATAACATTACAGTTAAGTAAAAGCTGGGTTTAAATTGTACCTAATGTGATATCACGCATAGGTATCAATACCTACCCGAAGTGCAGCAGGGAATGTTAAGCCCTACCTTACTAGTGAAAGGAGAGCCGATTACATTTAGATCAAAATTACATAAAAAATGAAATACCTACACGCAAAGCTTAATTAATACTACTATTCTCCTTAAAAAAAAGAATTGACAAAACAAAAGAGGCGTTATATTGACTTATGGGTTTACCAAGACATTTCGCGATTCATTTTAAGAATACATATAGTTAGATTAACAAACATAAAAATCATCGAAAGAAAATTAAGTAAATATTAAGTAAGTATACCTACGTAATTAGATTCTATCGGTATTTCTGTATTTACTCATATTATTATTGCAGGTGTTTGTTTTATTAGGTTTGTATTCAAGCCAATATAGTCGCACCAGCCGTGCCTCACGACGATAGTGTAGCTTCCCAACAGTAAAATAATGTAGGTATCATATCGGTCAAGCAGTTTCGAAGCATATTCAATTCAAACAAACAAACAACCAAATCTTAACTCTTTATAATATGTATTAGGATAGAAAGTCAGTCCATACTAATATTATAAAGAGGTAAAATTTGTAAGTTTGTATGTAGGGGGTAATCTTTGTAACCGCTGTTCGGATTTCCAAAATTCTTTACTACTTCTTAACACTGATAGATAGCTACAATATTCCTGAGTGCTATTAGGGTATAAAACATTACGCTACGATTAAATGGAGCCAAGCAGCGAGTGAAACCGCGCGAGAATAGCTAGTTGTAATATTTCACTATATATACATACATTCTGCGGATCGTCAGACCTCTCACTCATTTTTACCTTTAAGAAATAATTTACATATGTATAGATATCTACCTAATTAACAACCCAACCTACCTTTTAAAATGATACAATTTTGTACAATAGATAAAAGATAAGATTAAGATAATAATTATTACTTCTAATATCTTACAATTAGTAACAGCAAGCAGCCGTATGTTTGTTCCATGGTGTTTCCTTGATTGAGCCATAAAACGGGATCAGTGTAGCATGTCATTTTATACCCATTCCGTTCTAACTGCACTTGTAATTAATTGTTAGAATTTTAATCATTCGACTTAGACATTTATACTTACTTAAAGTTGAGCACACACACACACAGTATCGCTAGATAGTGTAGAGATTGTAGTGTAGTGCCTAGATCAGTATCATAGATTTAGTTACTCTAAAAAGTGAAGGTAAAATTCGAAACTTAAAACTCCTTGGATGGACTGCGGCTCGGCTTGGAGCAGAAGAAGGAATATTATGGTGGTTTTAATAACTCAGTAAAAATCTGTTACCCCATCTTACTCTACACTGGGCGAAAAAATCATTCAATGATTTTACAACTATAAAGCTTTAACATAAAACAAATGTAACTTCTTTCGGATCTACATACTAGGGAAGCGAGCCAAAGATTTTTTTTGTGTGATATGTCGACAAACGAGCTAACGGATTAACCTGATGGTAAGCAATCAGCGTCGCCCATGGACACCCGCAACGACGGAGGAGTTACGAGTGCGTTATCGACCTTTTGGGGATTAGGGATTTGGAGATTTTGGGCAAAGGAACGGATTGGGGTAGGGGATGGATTGGGCCTCCGGTAACCTCTCTCACACGGCGAAACACAACTCTTTTTTGATGAATTTTGATGAATTAGAAACGAAACGATACAAGTAGCTGGACATAGACAAAAAAAATGTCGCGAAATTTTGCGCTATTGTTTTTGATTGATGTGGAACATAATTCGATCGATTAAGGGCTGATTTTTCAACAGTCAGATAAATTTTATGTGAGTAATAAAATTGTTGCTGTCCCTGTCTTATAAGAACATTCTGACGCGACAGCATCATAATTATTTCCCAGATAACTTTTAAATATAAAACTATAAGTAGGTGAATACTGAGTATTTTTTCTTTAGATGAAGGAAAATTATAGACTACAAGCCGATTACCTGATTAATCATCATGCTTTAAGTACGGACGTATTAAATAAATTTATCAAATTATTACGTCAATTAGCTTGTTCATTGAAGAAACCCTACAATTTATTGTTAAAGTACATTTCCTAAGTATTTAGACATTGCCTACTTGTGGTGTCTTCTACAAAAGGCATTACTTAGATATTTTTCTAAAAGAAGACTCCGAACACAACAATTGTAAAAATACATTTTTAAACACTTTTTTTTTTAATATATTCCGATTTTATAATTTTGTCGAGCTAATATCTTAGTTGGATATGTATCTACTTACTTGATTCAAGTACCTAAGTATGTTTTCCAATTTCCAAATTCAATAGGTAATTAGTTTCATAGCCTGCTTATTGTTTGCAAAGTACAACAAACAAACAAATCTGTCTTCTACATTATATTATTATCTATCCTATCCTGCTATCCTACTATTATTACCTAGGAAAAAATATAAAAGTTTGTGAAAATGTATGGATGTATATTTGTTATTTTTTCACACAAAAACGGCTGAGCCGATTTGGTTAAAATTTGGTATGTAGATACCTATGTGATACCCTTTTTTATCGGAATTCGGAAGCTAATATACTAAATATGCAATGTATAGATATGTACTTAACATAAATAGGTACATATGCATTAATTATTTGCACCTATTTCGAAATATAATTGAATTTTATAGGTTTACCGATGACGGACTTTAAGTCAGATCAATTTGCAAAAATAAAAAATAATAAAAATGATGTTGTATTTGCAGTAAGTTGCGTGTCGATACACTTGGGCCAGTGTCGGCCGCGTTCGGTTCCACACAATTAATCTGAAATAACGAACTGACCCGTAACACGACTCCTGCGCATGTGCGCTTGCTCCCACCGCACCAATTAGCATTTAAACCCTTTATAAATACGTCACAAACTTTATAACTGGGTTTTAGTTATGTTGGATTGTTCTAGATGTGTGTTTTGGACGACCTATAGCTTATAATTTAAGTACACCTAAGATCTACCTACTTAGATTGCCTTGGCGAAATTCATGTTTTACCTAAGTACTGGAAATGCACAAGCGTTTGGCTAAATTTTATATGAGTAATGTCAATATAACTTCCATATTTTAAACTAGCTTTTACCCGCGCTTCCATTCGCGTGGAACAGTTGACTTGCTGCAGATTTTTGGTATAAAAACTATCCTATGTCCTTCCTCGAATTCCAAACTATGTCTGTAGGTACCTACTAAATTTCACAGAAATTGGTTCAGTAGTTAAGGCGTGAAGAAAAGACAGAGTTACTTTCGCATTTATGATATTAGTATAGATGATAATTTTATTATATAATTTTAATTGAATATCTATAAAAATCCTTGTAGGTATCACTAGTAGACAAAAGCAGTTGAACCCAAATAACATGATGCATGTTCATTATTTTGGAAGTTGTTATTTTATAGTTTTTTTCAAAATATCGCTAAGTACCTATTTCCGTCTACCAACCGAATTCCCCAACCTTGTTCGCTCGATAAATTTCTACCGAAAAAAACGCTTGTTAAACAATTTAGATGTGGTCTATCGACAAATTAAAGTAATTTCTTCTACTTACCTACTACTTACTCACTAAAACATATTTATGGTGTGTTGAATGAGAAAACCTATTTTTTTAAAGGGAAATTTATAAAATGACTGCTATTAGTGTCAGATATAGGTACCTACTATGAGTGTCAAATTCTTACTGACTAAAAACCGTACCGCTCTTTCTGCTGCTCAGAGCCTAAGCCACATTATCCTTTGTGGATATAAAAGGAGTAAAGCTGCCTTTTATATCTAAACCACATCCATTCAGAACAACGAAAAGATAGATTCAATTTGATAATAATCAAGTCAAAAAGATATTATAGTGATGTCTGAATCAAAATTCTTACATACCTATTTAGGATATCAGAAACATCTCCCTAAGGGCTGTTTTTTCAATAGGTAGTCAGATAAATGTTATCTGAGGAATAAAATTGTTGTTGTCACTGTCTTATACAAACATGTTGACGCGACAGCATCATAATTTTTCCCCAGCTAACTTTTATCTAACCAGTAAAAAATCGGCCCTTAGTAAAATAAACTAGGTATTCAGGTTGGTACCTATCTACTTACAAGATTTTCCCAATTGATAAGCAAAGGAGGCTTCAAAGTGAGGCAAAAACAAATGAAAACTATGCTAAAAACGTTGGCCTGCCTACACATAAAAAAATGAGAAAAAAAAACATTTCACCTACATCAATAAGTGCAATTGCATTAATAAATTATTTATGACGAAATAAATTTTGCCTTAACTAGGTGCGCCTACGGCGATTATTTGTCGGTTTTTTAAGGTGATTAATTTGCCCCTGTAGGCATTAACTTATGTACATTACATTACTTATACATACACTATAGGTAATACCAACATTATTTACTGCAAATACCTACATTATTCAATACATGTACATATTAATTTATTTAAGAAAATACCTGCTATTTAGCCGAAATAATCAACGTATTAATTGATAACTTTAAGTCGAAGTCAACTAACAATCGCCGAATTGATATGGGTGTTTGATTAATTTGACTTAAACTAATTAATGTCTATAAATACAAACATTCAGGATTAACTAAAATCATTTATTTATTAAAAACGCAGTGTTTTACGTATAGGCACCTACCGAAGCCAAAGCCTGGGTACCTAAAGATATCACATCTATCCGACGTTGAGGTGAAGAGAAAAAACAAATCAGTAGATACTCAGAGGTATTTAGCTACTTACTCCCGAAAGTCTATGTAAATAATAGGTATCTAGGTATATAAATTTAAAAAGCTTTATTGTTTACCTAACTATAGAAATAAGAATGGTAAGTATCTAAATAGTAAAAAATAATAGTGCACTGTTCGTTTTTTAACTTTATTTAATTTACACACACATTATTTATTTTTCCTAAACCCACTGCGTTCTTATTTTAAATATTCCAGGCGCATTTTCCGTCTTAATTAATTGCATTTCATTTGAAAATGGAATAGGAAGAGCTACTTTAAAAAAAAATTTAAGTAAGTAATTACAAAATATCTGACTACTGCTCTTATTTTTTTATTTATAAGCAAGTTAAGAGGCTTGTTAGGTAAAGGTAAAATGTTTAATTAGGCCTATATTACCGGTGTGTGGCGGTGTTTGCGCGACGGGGCTGCGCGGCTCGGCGCCGCTGCGGGCCATGATCGCCGCGATCGAGAAGTCAGTCGCCCTCGTCTTTCCTTCCTCGGCCACCATCCTCTCTCCTCCGGCCCTCCAACACTCCGCGCTTTCCACATCCATGAAACAACTCTCAGTCTTCAGTCCAACACTAATCTTCACCCACCATCTCACCGAAACCGGCCCCTACATTGTTTTCGTTTATGCATTTTCTTTCGAATAAAAATTAAATGTTTGCACCGAATTTATTTTCCGAAGAAATAACTTTTACTATAGAAAAAACATTTTAATTTTTGTAAAAAAAATTCGGTGTCAAACAAAAAAGCACTTTGTGTGAAAGCCGCGTAAAATAACAATTATAAATCAATTATGTTGCAGGACGATCGTTAAACGCGTATTGAAATACTAGTGGAAATAGTCCGTAGAGCGGCACGAGCGAAAGCGGTACGGCGGCTGAGCGCGGACTGAGCGCGGCGCGGGCGCGGCGCGCGGGGCGGCCCGGGCAGGCGGGGCCGCCTCCCCGGGCAACCACTGGCCGCGCTACCCGCTGTCACCGATACCACCGACCCTCCTCCCCTCCCCGCCGCACCCCACCCCGACCACTAAGCTTTTCAATAACAATAAAAACAATAATATTAATCCTATATTTGCTATACACTATTCTGCATGTGTCATCTCATGCTAAAATAAATTTCAGCTTTTATAGTTTCAATGAAACAATTAGGTAATCGCATCCTACGTAGTTCAAACCTTTTATGGTTTATGAAAGCAAAATTTAATATTTCGTAAATTTTACAATACCTATATCAAATTCGCTTTGTACCGGGATGTTTTTTCATGAAAATTGTGTCAAGTGAAAACGTGCGCGCATTCACCGCGTGAGTGCGCCGCCCATAAAACAGATTTGTAGATTAGAGCGGGACAGCAATACATAACAGTGGGCGTGCGCATGCGTTAGAGAGAGTCGAAAGGATTTATTGTATTGCGTGCGTAACGAACTAACGTTCGAAGACGTAACTTTACTAATAAGTAATTTGAAATGAAACTTTACGAAGTGAAGTTTTTTACTTTTTAAAGTAAGTAGGTACTTAAGTAATTATAATTTGTTCACGTTTTGTTAGTCAAATGCGATAAATGGCAGTTTTCGTGTTCACGATTTATCAAGAAAGGTAAATGCGTTTGCAAAAAGAGATAGGTACTAAGATAGGTAGCTAATTACTTAGAAGGTAGGTTAAGTTAAGTACTCAAAATGAGGTCTAGTTTCCTATCTAATCACTTTTATAACAAATTTTTTTGTATTCCTCGGACCTTTCCTATACAACAAACTGAATGCGACTTTATCCTTTTACTCCTACAATCTCCATACCTGTAAAAAAATCCTCATCGAAGCACTACAGGACATGTCCTATGAAGACACAGAGAAGTTATTATTAGTTCCTAAATAACTGTAGTAAAGGTTTTCATTTACATTTATTTTTTATTTATGGTTTAATTTTTATTTAAATAAACATACAACAGATATAGAATTTAAGTACCGTTTTATCCTGTTATTTTTAATATAAATAGTATCATTATTTCCTTAATTTAAAAACACTTATGTACTTATGATTATTTAACAATGTATAATATCTTTTTACCCATTTTCGCCTGAAACACAGGTTGTCCTAGTTCAGGCACCCAATATTATGAACTTGGTATAGCTTTAAGCAAAACTGTATATTCCAGATTATGTGTTCTTCAATAAATTTTATTATTTATTATTTTTATTTTTTTTTATCTCCTAATTTTTTGTCATAAATGTAGGTAGATATTTTCTACTAAAACCCAAGGTTCTAATATTTATGAAACTAATTTCACTAGGTAACAAATCTTCAGTCTTATTTTCTAAGTTAACATAAACACACATAAACCGTTCTCAAAACCATTTATGTAAAACTTAGACTAAGTATCTACCTACTTAGATTAGACTTAGTTAGGTATAATAATATCATTAAATCAGTACCTAGGTAGGTTAGTACCTTAGATTTGATTTGCTTTGTTGCATTAAAATATCAAATAAAAAAAAATTTGGTAGCGACCAGCAACGCACTGATAACTCCTTTAGTGTTGCGGGTATCTATGGGAAGCGGTGATTGCTTACCATCAGGTATTCAGTATGATAGTTTGCCGTCCTATACCCAAAATAATATTATAAATGCGAAAGTACCTCTGTCCATCTGTTTGTCGGTCTGTCTTTTCTTCACGCCTAAACTACTGAACCGATTTCTGTGAAATTTGGTACAGACATAGTTTGGAACTCGGGAAAGGACGTAGGTATTAGTGTTAGTGTACCTATCATAAAAAACATGGGTAGTTTAGTAGTTCAAAAATAAAATTCGACGTTTAAGTAAGTACCTACCTACAATGAAATATTGAAAAATAACTACTTAAGTACCTACACTTTTATTCATCGATCTGTCCATACCTATACCTACCTACTGTAAATTTTCGATAGGTATTTTACTTTGACGTCATACTGAACTAATTTCATAGAAAAGTATCTACCTATGTATTGTTTTTGACATTTGGATACCTAAAAGTATTGCATTTGACTAGTTGGAAACTATCGTAAGTATTATTTCTAAGGAAAACACCAAAGAGGTTATTTATCTATTGAGGTATACATACCCTTACCTATAAGGGTACATGTGCTTACTCACAAAAGATTGAGGAATCGATTCCCTCCCCTATTTGCTTACGAACCCTTCCGACACGCTTACATAAGGAGAAAACACTTGATGGAGAGGTCCTCACAAGATTAAATAATTCAGAGGCTCACTGAGGAGTTTGATGCCTCTCTCTGTTTGTTATGAGTGAGCAATGGGATGCCATTGTCTTAAAAAAACAACAAATCTATGAAGGAACGGAGTAGTATTTCATCAGTAAGAGACTGATACTGAATTTCGTCCCATCTGAGGCCGGAGAAGTCAAGGTAGAAGTTTGATTATTTTTACCTTTAAAACACAGGTATTTAAGTCTTCACAATATCTATTTCAATATCTCATCTAACTACCCTAAACTGTTTTATATCTCTACTAATATTATAAAGTATGTAAGTTTGTATGTAGGGGATAATCTTTGGTGCCAACATTCTTTCACTGATAGATAGCTACAATGTTCCTGAGTACTATAGGCTAAAAAACGTCACGCTACGATTAAATGAAGCCGAGCAGCTGGTAAAACTGTGTGAGCTAGTTCTACAATACAATTCGGACTTTGTGCAAAAAACAATGAAACCGCAAATTTATAAAAATATTCCGGCCGCGGCTTAGTCCACGTGGTATGTTGATAAAAAGTAGCCTAAGATGTCATATTCCGGAATGTCTGTATCCTATGCCTGTGCCAAATTTTATCCAGATCCGTCTATCTGTTTTGGCGTGATTGAGTAACAAACATCCAAACATCGTAACTTTCGCATTTACCTATACGTAATGTATTAGTGAGATTCTTCACAGAATATATTATGACGTCATGAAGCTGATTGTACTATAGATAGGTACTAATGTAGGTAGGTAGGTAAGTAAAGTACTCGCTCAAAACATATATACCTACCTAAGTAGGTAAGCATTATTTGTGAAAATATGAAAAATACGCACTTAAGGAGGCAATAAGTCTTGCGGTGAAACATTAAAAGGCATTACGAGTCTCTCAGGATGTTTTTCAATTTGGCGGAATGGCGTCTGAGGTCGTCTTTGTGTGAGTTACATACTCATAGTACCTTCATAAGTTGAATGCTTTGTCAGGGCTTCAACAGTTGGACCTTAAGCGTAATAATAAACAATACGTATGTCTACTTATAAGTACCTACTTAGATACCTACACTGATATTTTCTTCTTTAAAGGGTATGTGAGTCATAGGAAATGTTTTTGTCAAAGAAATAATTGTTTTACGTAATTACCTAGTAGCAGCATAATAGAAATAATTCATGATCTGGCGAAATTTCTGGATGTCATCTTTCTAGATGTCCAGGTACACTCTGGTGATATACAGATGGACGGACATGAACACCCATTGCAAAAAATGGCATCAAAACGAAAAATGGCAAAGACTTAGAGGTAAATGCTGTGGGTTAATGCTCCGAGTCTACGGCGCAAATTTTCAGTATTTACCTACAAGCTAGTCTATAGTTATAAGTACCTACAGGTACGTAATTATCTGCAATATTTGCAAAGGAGTCTTTCATTATTACTACATCGCTCTGGCAAAAATATGTGTTAGCCTTTTTTATTGCCATAAAGACTATGTTAGTTTTGCTTCTTGTTTTCTTCTAAGACTATATTACTTAGTTTCTGTGCGACGCAAAATCATGCAAATCATTAAAAATCGATATTTTTTTAAGTGGGTGACACTTCTAGTACCCAGGTTCAGGAAGGTGGGAGTGTCATACACTTACTGACTAAACCTCCCTCCGAAGCAGTAATAGCTTATCGGCTAAATATTGACCTTGTTGAGCCCCATGTGTAGTGATCCAATTGATCTTTGTAAAGCTATCAGAGAGTAAAAAATACCGAACTTAAATCAAGTAACTTCTCATTTATAGATAAAAAGTAATTCAGTCTAATGTCACTATGGTAACTGAACTTTTCAAGCTGAATTTATGATGCATTGTCATACATTGTAACTAGTAGAACAATCGCGTTAATGATTCGTTTGTGTCTGAACAATAAAGGTTGTTAGCTGATTTATTTTTTACTGTCTCAATGGTTGAATGGTGCATTCGTTGGACGTATAAAAAATATTTTCGGTTTTGGATATTTTAGCTGGAGTCTGTGGCAATAATACTGTCCCAATTATATGGAAACTGTCTCTTTAACCTACCTAACCCTTTAAAAAAAGAACGTAAAGAAACAGGCTTACATTAAAATCAAAGCAAGGAACAAATATTTGCTATTTTCCACAGTGACTAGAAACGTAGAACTAATCCTACTACAAAATGTCACAACACTATTGTGTAGCAGAGAAACTCATAATTCATTCTCAAAATCAACACCATTGACAAGTTGGCAAAGAAAAAAAAATAGGAAATAGTGTAAAAATAAGCTGCACGGAGCGAAACACAATGCGAACCATTGTATTAAATTGC